TGATCAATGGATCAATCAACTTGATCATTCCAAAAAAAAAAGAAACTTCATCATTGGAAAAAACAAAGAACTGAAGCGCATGGTCTTGCACGCTCGCTTGTGTGTGTGGTTTGTGCAGGACAAGACTTCCGCGATCATGCCGCGACACATTGCATCGTTGGGTGTGCTCAGAAACAACACATGTAAGGGAGCCCGTAGCCAGGCATGCCCGTGAAACAAATGCACATAATGTCAAGCTTCGAAAGGCCATGAAGCAAAAAAGAACCGTAAGGCAAAAGCCAAGCCAAACGGCCAAGGCAAAAGTTAAAAAGCAACAAGGCATTGGAAGTCAAGCAGAGGCAAAGAACATATGCTGGAGCACTAGGCAACAAGGCATTGGATGGCAAGCAGCAGCAAAGAACATAGGCTGGAGGGCATGGGGGAGGCGGGTGGGAAGACAAAAAGCACTAGGCAACAACGGAAAAGCCACCAGGCCAAGGAGCGGCAAGGGAAAGAAACACAAAAAAAGGTACCGAAAACACAAAGTGAAAAAAAAAAACTGATGATAGATTGTTTCGTCGGAGTTGCACCGACTCATCAGGAGGCTGAACCCTCGACAATATGCAGAATCCCTGTATTGATGCTTTGGGTCAAACCCTTTGACCCCTGTTGAAAGCAGACTTCCAGCAGGCAACATCGCAAGTGGCGCATGGCAGCAGGCAATGGCTTAGTGAAGCACTGGGCAACGCTGTCGGGGAACCCAACTGCAAAGAGTCAAAGCTAACTGCATGGAAAGACAGCGCCAGTAGACTGGCAGCTAAACAACAGCACAGCAAAGCAGGAAGCAGCGCTGCAGAAGCAGCAAAACTGCATGTCACACAAGAAAAGTGCACGGGAAGACAGGCACGCGGATGGGCAGCAAGGCAACAGCACAGCGAAATACTAGGCAACACCAACAACGCAGCCATTTCCTCTTTCGTTTTCTCCCTTTTCTTCTTTTCCCTTTCATCACTGCTTGAGTTCGTCTTAATTCATCATCAGTATGCCAATTCCTTTATTTTGCCTGTTTTACTCGTTTGGCTGACTTGAGCTTATTGTGGTCTATGCTTGCTTGTCTCATCCCTGTCTGTTCCTGTTAAGAGAGGCAGAGAGAGACACAGAGAGGCAGAGAGAGACAGCCAGAGACAGAGACAAAGACAGAGACAGAGACAGAGACAGAGACAGAGACAGAGACAGAGACAGAGGATGCACCAAAACGTCGATGTGTGTGTTCTGTCCCACCAATCCGTAATCGATTCAGCCATGGAACGCCACATGGTGGCAGCAATTGCTGCTTGCGTTATTAGCAGAAGCCAACTCTATACAGGTCTAGAGCCAATTGGACAGGTGAAGCAACAACAAAGCGTTATCAGACAGCAGACAAAATACATAGGAGATCTGCATAGAATAGGACCAATACAGACTGTAGAATTTTTACGCGAGTCTTATGGACAATCTGTCATGCAACAAAGATTACACCTCAGAAGAAGAAGAAGAGCAATATGTGGTGGCAAGAACTGAGATTTGTTTCCCCCAGAAAACTCTAGGCAGTATGAAGCAGCCTGTTGCACCTACAAAGCCTCAGGGCTAAGTTCCACTAGCGGGCTTTTAGTCTTCCGTTCGATGATTTTCCAATGTGGCCATATTGCGGCAGTTAAACGTTCAGATCGGACGGCAGAAACCGGTGCGTACTCGAAACAAGGTCTAAAGCCCTGCTAATCCAAGACTTTGCAAAATACCCTTCCCGTTGTTTGGGCTGGTCATCTTTGCGGCATAACCAGATACTGGTCCAAAAATACCCCATCATTTTTCAATATACGTCTAACAGCCTATGCCTCTTTTTGCTATGCCCCCTACCCATTGGTCCCGCTGCCCCTAACACCTCACGTCGGATCAGCTTCCTCCTTGAGGATCGTCTCCCACAGTAAGTTTCCTCCATCTTCCAGCTCCTCCTCCCCGGCCATCTCTCCCATGTCCCACCTTGTCATCACCCCCTCCATTCTGCCGAATTATTCTCTCTCTCTCTCTCTCTCTCTCTCTCTCTCTCTCTCTCTCTCTCTCTCTCTCTCTCTCTCTCTCTCTCTCAAACAGCAGTGTCGTTCGAAGTCATTCTGCCTCCTGGTGGAAACCCTTACTGATGCATCTTCATACAGGCAGTAACCATGAGGTGGTGTGCTTGAAACTTCTCATGTTCATGGACACGTGGTGATTGGCCTTGCTACTTTTTTTTTGCATTCTTTTCCAGCAAGCACCATCGAGGATTTGTGCTCTGGAGGTGACATGAGCTGTTGCATACTGTAACGTGCAAACCAGAACAAGAACCGACCTTTCAAT